GACGGAGACGACGTCGTCAATCCTGGAGTGGATCATGTCGGAGCTCATGAGGAACCCGGAGGTGATGGTGAAGGCTCAGGCGGAGGTGCGACAAACATTGGACAACAAGAGTCTAAAAGACCATGAGGTCCACATGGAAAAACTGCGCTACATGAAGATGGTGATCAAGGAGGGTCTGAGGCTGCACCCGGCGGCACCGCTCCTGCTCCCCCGTGTCTGCCGGGAGACTTGCAACGTCAATGGGTTTGAGATTGTGGAGGGCTCCAGGGTCATGGTCAATGCGTGGGGGATAGCGAGGAACCCCGAGTATTGGCATGACGCAGACAAGTTCAAGCCAGAGAGGTTTGAGGACATTACCGTGGATTACAACGGTACACAATTCGAGTACTTGCCGTTCGGGAGCGGGCGGAGGATGTGCCCTGGCGGTACTTTTGGGTTGGCCACGTTGGAGCTCATCTTGGCTCGGCTTCTATACTTCTTCCATTGGAGCCTCCCAGCCGGAATGCGTCCGGATGAGCTTGACATGGACATGACCGTCGGTGCAACACTAAGAAGAAGGAACCAACTTCACCTAGTAGCGATGCCGTATAATTTTCCGATGAAAATTTGAGGCTCGCCGATTTGTAATCATGTTTATGATGGCGGGTTAACTTTCGCTAGGTTCTCTTTATCGTTAACTCATGGTCGTCATATTTAGTGGGGTCAATATCATGATTTCATTTGTATCCCTGTAACGATTTCTTATGATCAATAAAACCTAGAGGGTTGTTCTACAAAAATTAATAATTCGGCGAGCAACTACATTTAGAATAAAATTTACACGTCCTTATTCAGCTTGCAATGAGGGGAGTAGGGCTGGAATTTAAAATCTCAAAACTCATGAGCTAAACGAGCAACTCGTGACATAGTTCGGCTCGAATCGAACTTGTTGAGTAACGGGTTGAATTTTAATCTAAGCTTGTTAAAAAGAACAAGTTTAATGAGCGAAGCTAACAAGTTACTCATTTAACTTTTTAAGCCCGTTGATGAGAAGATATACTCCCTCCATCCCAAAACAATTGTCATTGATTTAGTACAACTTTGTACTCCCCCCGTCTCAAAATTTTTGTCTTGGATTAGTCTAGATACGGATGTATCTAATGCTAAAATGTGACTTGATACATTTGTATTTAGACAAATTTAAGACGAGAATTTTGAGACGGAGGGAGTACTAAATAAGAGACGCTTATCTTGGAAGAGAGTGTGCCAGTATTGCTGTTATTGAATCAACTTTGTACTAAATCAAAGACACTTACCTTGAAAGAGAGTGTGCCAATATTATTATTATTAAATCAACTTTGTACTAAATCAGAGACACTTATCTTGGAACAGAGTGTGCCAATATTGTTTGTCATCTGTGATGTGCACCATGACTTGAATCCTGATGGGCTGGGGATGCCACATTCCCTCTAACCATCCAACCACAGGTTTTGGTTCGCTTGAGAAAAAATATCTAATAAGCCAAATAATAGGAATGTTTGACAGAATACAAATAATATCTGGTACATTAATAAGCCAAATATGGCGCCCGATGGGTAACCAAGCAGAGGCTCTAGCAATCGCTACATGGGCCTGCAATCGGCCCGTTTTCCCCTTCGTTCACATCGCTTATCACATAGTACTCTATCGTTGTCTCAAAAAAAAAACATAGTACTCTATCTCTCTCTCTCTCTCTCTCTCTCTTCTCTCTCTCTCTTTTTTGCAAATTTGGACTTGTATTAATTAAGTGCAGCATATGATTGTGCTTAATTTGGCCTAATGTATTGCTGTACCCTGCGTATATGTTATTGAAGTGCACTGGAATGGATTTTCTGAGATAGTAACAACGCAATATGTAACAACTGTTCTTCATATAAATAAGATAAAAATCCGGAGAGCAGCGTTTTCGCTCCTAGGCTCATCTGAGCCAGGGAGTGATAAAAATCGTTAGAAACATTAAATAAAATTAAAAAATTCTGTTTTTTTGTGTGGGGAAAGACGACTGAGTGCCTGATGTCCGTGCCAAATTTCAGAGCATTTGAATGTTTGAGTAGCTCTCAACAAAAAAGGCAAATTTGAGATCTATGAAAAAGTTCACTGTTTGTGCAGACCCTTTATTTTTTTGCTGAGAGCTACTAAGATGTCCAAATGATTTGAAATTTAGCACGCACCTCACATACTCAATCATCTTACATTCCAAATTTTTGGACTTTTTCTAGCAATTTTTTGAATTTACTGTTCACTGGATGTAGATGAGCCCAGGCACAAAATTGGATATTCGAAAAATCCTCAACTATATGCCAAAAATAAGTGCAACACGTCACACTCTTCGCAACAGGAGCCGTGCATTTGCATTATCTCTCCTTTCTTCAAAAATTATGGTACCACAAACCATTTGAAATTTAGCATTATTGTACACGTACAAACAGAGAGACGAGTGAACGTTCTCATGCTTTGGCAAAAAGCTATAGTAGTATACATAATGCTTACGGTTTGCACACACTGGCACCATCACCGTGACATGCCAAGGGACCTGGGAAGGGCCAGAGACCGGGCCTCTGGCGCCGAGCTTGGGAACATAACGTTCAGCTTGTGCATCAGGACGTCGGACTTCGACGGTATCTCGTTGAGCAGGAACTGCTGCACGATCGGCTTCTTGAACCACTCGAGCACCGAGTCCCCGGGCGCGCGCAGGACAACCTTGCTCACCTCGAATGGCGACTCCAGCGAAGCCAGCACCTGGGCCACCACCATCTTGAGCGTCGGCCCTGTCACCAGCTTGATGCGCCGCGGCACGACCCCGTAGTAGAGCATCCGCTTCCTGAACCGGTGCAGCGTGTGCACTGTAGAGACAAGCGCCGCTCCCACTGACAGGTTCCGGATGTCCAGGGACCAGGCAATGTGCTGGTCGAATACGATGGCCTTAGGGAACAGCTTGTTCTCATAAGAGACCTTCCAGACGCATCGTGCACGGTTCATCTGCCCCATGAGCACCAGGTAGTTGAGGAGCACGTTCACAAAGTACCTCGCCGCACTCTCCTCATTCTCGTAGTCAATGCCTTGGAAGAACTCCCGGACAAAGGAGAGCACGGGCTTCTTCCTTTGCTCTGGCCCGGTGAACAACCCGCACATGAAGTCGTGCGCCTTGTGCCTGCTCACGCTCAGGATGTTCATGATTGCCCGTTCGCTGTCCTCATCCTGGCACCGCACCAAATGTGCGAGGATTGAAGTGTAGAGTATCATGTCCACCTTTGCCGCCGCACCGACATACGTCTCGAGCAGTGGCCGTGCCGAGTCATACAGCCCCATCTTCATGCAAGACTCAAAGAGCTGCCTTATGATGAAATTGTTGGTTCGTATCCCAGCAGAACCCATGAACCGCAGCCACCGGAGAGCAAGCTCCGTCGACCCATCTTTGATGTAAATCATCAACAGGTCACTCGCGGTCACTTCGATGGGGAACCCTGATGCCTTCATCTCAAGCAGCACCTTTGCAGCCAAATCAAGCAGCTTCTTATTCGCCAGCATGGTCAGTAATGCTGTAAATGTGCTCAGCCCTGGCCTTGTCCCTGCATTTGCCATCGAGTGGTACATCCTCATTGCTACATCCACATTCCCCGCTGAAGCATGCATTTCGACCAAACAAGCATATGTGGCAGGAGTAGGGAAGAAGCCAGACTTCTCCATATCACCAAACAGCTTCGCAGCGACATCCAGCCTTCCTGACCGTGCATTTGCCTCGACTACCATGGTGTACAACCCAAAGCTTGGTCGGAGCCCTCCTCGCCGCATCTCCTCCCAAAGCTCCATCCCTGCATCCAGCTTCCCAGCCTTCACAAGCCCCTCCACCATGGCGGTGCTCACAGCCGTGCTCACCCTGTGCCCCACTGCCACCATCTCCCTGTACATCCCCATCGCAGCGTCAAGCCTCCCTGATTTGGCCAGCACATCGACCATAGTGCTGTACACCCCCGGCGAGGCAGGCCCGACCCCATCCCTCTGTCTCATTTCATCAAACAGCTTGCGTGATGCGTCAATCCTTCCAGCACGTGCAAGCGCCGGCACAGCAAGCTCGTAAGTGCCCTTGTCGAGCTCGCAGCCCGCCACAGACATTTCGTCGAGCACCTCGAAGGCCTTGAAGGCGAGCCCCCTGGCGAGCAGCAGCGAGAGGAGGGCATTGCAGGTGGGCGTCTGGAGGCCATGGAAGCCGGCGTCGCGGAGGCGCTTGAAGCAGTAGAAGGCGGGCTCGAGGAGGCCGTGGGTGGAGAGCGCGGAGACGACGGCGTTGAGGGTCTTGGGGAAAGAGGCTGGCTCCGGGTGCAAGAGGGCGTCGTCGAAGAGCGACATGAGGTCGGAGGAGTGGGTGGCCGGCGACAGACGCGCGGCCACGATGAAGGACAGATCATCGGAGGGCACGAACCAGGGCTGGTGGCGGGCCCAGCCGACGAGCGAGAGGAGCGGGGTGGGGTCGGAGGCGGGGAGGGAGTTGGCGGCGAGGAGGAGGAGCGCGGGGTCGGGCTGGGAGGGGAGCGCGGAGAGCGCGGCGGAGAGGGACGGCCCCGAGCGGTGGCGGAGCGCGAGCGCGGCGAGGCGGGCCGCCGCGGCGGGGCGCGGGAGCGGGTGGGCGGAGGAGCCGGAGAGGATGGTGGGGTCGGCGCCCGGCACCGCGGGGCGCGCCCCGGGCGCGGACGAGAGGACCTCCCCCGTCTCGTCCAGGTAGTCCACCGTGTCTATCCATTCGACGCCCGGCGGAGGCTCGGACGAGAGCCGGCGCGGGGCGAGCGACAGGGGCAGCGCCGCCGCGCGGCGGCGGAGGTGGGGGAGCCCGGCGCGGAGGAGCATATCTGGCGTGGTCTCTCTCAGGCTCTCAGCCCTTCTCGGCGGTTCGGAAGTAGTTGAATAGCCTGTGACGGCCCACGGCCCAACGTCAACGAGCATACACGGCCCAAACATGACCGAGCCATCTAAATCTCGAGCCCAAAATGCATCGTCCCCCTCCTCCTCCCGTGGCATCTTGGCTGCTACTCCTGCCTCCCTTCGTCTTCCTCTGCCTCCAGAACCAGATCGCCCCCTCCGCCGACCCGCCTCCAGATCGGAGCAAAGCGGCCCCCTGTTTGCTTCGCGGCACCAGATCAGGTAAGCTCCATCCCCTGCCCATGTGTAATTTGGTGTTGTTTGGCGAGCTCGCCGAGCCCTAGCTTCTCCACCGAGATGGAATTAGGCTCTGTTCTTCTAGGTTGATTGATTCGAGTCCTTGATTAGATGATTGGTAGTAGTAGCAGTAGTACTCCTCCCTAGGCTGTTAAATTTTGGTCTTGGGAAGAGATTGGAGAGCTTTTCTGTGGTTTAACCATGTGGTTCGACGCTCGATTTCGTTCAGTAATCGCTCTGCCCGTGCCTATGAATCAGTACGGCAGTGGGCAGTGGGCGTTTATCCTGTCATATCTGCGATGTGCTCTGGGAGGAGTGGACTGTAGAAGTAGATAAGTATGGAGTCTCAGTCTCACATACAGCACTCTGAAATTCTGAGTTTGGGTGGAGAGGTAGGTCCGGTCAGATTGTGTAGCGAGGTCACAGTTGTAGGCAGCTGTGTTTGCTTGTCTAAGATGTTTACTGCGCACATTTAATATCTGCAACCATGCTAGTTCTGTCTAGCTTGTAACTGTGCATTGAGCTCACGATGCATGCTTATCTTGCCTTTTTATCAGCATTCCCATTAGGAGAAGCAATGTCGGCAGTAATCACAAAGTTCGCCGTCACATCTATGGTGATGTGGATGGCCCCAGTTGCAATCATGTATGGGTTTATCTACCAGATTTTTCCAGGTTTGATTCTTGCTCCTTCTACATTATGTTATACTTAACATTTTGTATGGAACTGAAGCACATACGTTCATACGGAAATGATGTTTTCCTCCTTGGTCAGGTGTCGGTCAGCTTTCCCCCTCGGCGCAAACCATGGCCAGTGGATTCCTTGCTGTCATCTCGGTCAATCTAGTGATCGGCTTTTACATATACATGGCCATGAAGGAGACTCCCCATCAAGAGCCCCAGCCTGATCCAACCTTTCTGGCAAACGCCAAAGCAAGCATTAACCAGCCAACTTCTTCTCAAGTGAGTGATGATTCCCATGGGAAGGGGAAGGTCGAGTAGGCTGTAGCGTAACTTGAGTTGGGTTTTATGTCCATGATACACATGCTATCCAGAGTCAGTTGGGTTATGTGCTTTTGTAATATTACGTCCTTCTAGTTTGATGTAGTTGCTGGAAACTTTCAGAGTTTTGGAAGCTATATGAAGATGTATCTTTGTACCCATTATCAGTAGATACTGTGTTCAACCTATTTAATTTTGTTATGATGTTGAGAAAGACTCTTGATCATAATTCAGGTCCTATACCTTGACTAATTCTGCCAGATCTTCTTTAGCACATAAGTTAATCATATCTATCTTTATCAATTTGTCTTTTTTCAGTATGCCATATTTGATAAAAAACATTGAGTCTCTTTTTGTCCTTTAGTTTGATTTAGTCCTTAATTTTTTTGAGCAATATGGGAACTATATGAAAATGAATCTTATGTACCAGTTATCACTTATCAGCAGACAATGTATTCGGCTTCTTAATTTTGTTATGATGTTAAGAAAGAGTATTCTGATCATAATTCAGGTCCTACCATTAATTTTATTTTTCAGATTTTTCTTTCGCACATAATTTAAGCATATCTATCTTTATCAACTTGGTTGGTTTGTACGTCATATACTAATATTTGATAAAAAAACATTGACTCTATTTGGAATAGTTACTTTTCAGTTAAAACTGTTGTTAGTTATTTAATTTCACCAAGCTGTGATTGCGAACAATCAGTGGAGCTGGATAGAAGACATAAGTCTTTGTTTCACTATGAGTAAATAATCAATAAAATTTGTGTCGTGAAATAGAATAGGTTCTTTATGTGCTGTCGTTGACTTCATGAAGGACGTGAATCTTTTGGGAAGCTTTTGTTCAATATCTGAGTGAAAGAACTCAAATAAGTAGCAGTCTTGTGTGTAAAACATTGCCATGTTGATGGTTGCCCTTACCTTGAATTTATAGCCAACATATGAGTGAAAGAACTCAAATAAGTAGCAGTCTTGTGTGTAAAACATTGTCATGGTCATGATTACCCTTACCTTGAAATTAGCCCACAGAAAAAAGTGAAAATCAAAGATGTTAGTCACGTAGCCTTTTGTTGCTGTGGAACACTTTATTTGTTTTTCCTCTATGTCATTTATTTGCTTTCTTCAGAATCTTTGCTTACTTTAGCTTATGGTAAAATAACATGTCGTTAGGACTAGAATATCAGTTTTCAAATTTGTTACTTTGTACTTTCTCCCTGAAAAGTTCAATTAACGATAGATTTTGGATATATTGTTTTGATTAGTTTTGGAAGAAAATTATTAGTATTGTTTCATACATGTAATGTCGCATACTCATGTTGCTATCAGGGAACCGTTTAATTTGAACTTAATATTATAATCATCTCTTATTCTTCATCCCATTCTGTGAGTATATTCTGACATGTTGATTTGGAATTGTCTTTTTGAACAAGTTGTACCTTCCTGGTATCATGTTCTAAAATGGAACCAGAAAAAAGCAAAGTAGATTTTGAGAACTATGGAGCTATATGAAGATGAAACTTCTGTACCAGTTATCACTTGTAAGAAGATATTGTATTCGGCTTGTTAACTTCGTTATGATGTTTAGAAAGAGTATTCTGATATAATTCAGCCCCCCCTGCCTTTACTAATTCTGTCAGATTTTTCTTTAGCAAGTAATTTAAGCAGATCTATCTTTTATCAACTTGGTTTGTTCGTATGTCAAACATTGACTCTCTTTGGACTAGTTACTTTTGAGTTAAATTGTTGTTAGTTAATTACTTTAACCAAGAAGTAACTGGGAACAATCAGTGGAGCTGGATAGAAGGAGAAAATGAATCTTGGTTTCACTGTGAATAAATAATCAATAAATTTTGTGTCATGAAACAGAATAGGTTCTTTATATGCTGTCTTTGACTTCATCATGAAGGACGTGAATCTTTTGGGAAGCTTTCTCACAGAAGCATATATGAGTGAAAGAACTCAAAGAAGTAGCAGTCTTGTGTGTAAGTGTGTTACATGTGGTTTTCTCACAGTAGCATATATAACTGTGGATTAATCACGTAGCCCTCTTAATTTTTGAAAATTTACATCTTTTCTGAAGCGTTGAATCTCTCCTGTCCGTCTTTTTAAGGGTTTTGAACTATCGATCTAAACAAACTAGTTCTTTTTTGTTCCTTTTGGCTATTGGAAAAATATGCATACAGATTCGTTGTTAGTGTGAGAGACTCAGCTGATCTAAATTTAGAAAGTCCGAAACCTACTGTATAACTGATCACTTATACGGCTTCAAAGTTAGGTCTGACATCAACTCATCACACAGTCTCATACTATGACATGCAAAGAGAATATCCAAGAGTATGTTGTTTTGAGAGATAGAAAATTAATGGATGAATATGGTTAATTTTTCACCAAGGGTGTATTATTTTTTGGGAAATGGAGAACTCCTGGATGAATACAATGCATACTTCAACTTCAGCTTCAGCACGAAATACAAGTGCAAATTTGGCAATTGCTTTGAAGATCTCTATGCCCATATGGCAAGCATGGACATCATCCCTGCACCTAGGAAAAGTGCAAGATATGTCATCAGCTGAAGCTTTGTATTTGTCTGTAGCTTTGGGTTATTGAAATCTTTTGCTAGAAGGTCCACCAGGGACATGTAGATTAAAATCCCTGCCGAGGCTGAGTTGAAGACTCCCTCAATAATGAAGGCAGTAGAGCTATGCACATTATAGCTAGACGATATCGCAATCCCTAGCACGATGCCCACGGGTGCGGTCAGGGAGAAAAACGTTGCCATGATGATGGTTGCCCTTACCTTGAAATTAGCCTGCGGAAAAAGTTAAAATCAAAGATGTTATTAGCCACTTAGCCTTTTGTTGCTATGGACCACTTTATAAAGTTGGTTCTTTATCCTCTATCATTTTTTTGCTTTATTCAGAATCTTTGCTTACTTTAGCTTATGTCTTTAGGACTGGAATATCAGTTCTCAAACTAGTTACTTCCTATTTTCTCCCTGAAAAGTTCAATTATCAATAGCTGTTGTATATTATATGTGTTGATTATTTTTAGAGGAAAATTCTCAGTCTGTGTTCATTTGATCTAAACTTAATATTATAATTATCCTTTTTTTCCTCCCCTTCTGTGAGTGTATATATATATATATCCTGACATGTTGATTTATAATTGTCTTTTTACCTTGGTGGTATCATATTAAAAAATGGAGGCAGGAAAACAAGTTAGATTCTTGTCGGTGCAAGCAGGTACCTGTACAATGCAACCACCCAAGCCTATGCCTTCAAAGAATTGATGGAAGCTGAGGGCACCGACCAGAGGCTTGATGGTGGATGGCCTCACAGATGCTCCTAATGACACACCAATTATCACTGAATGCACCAAGATTCCCAGCTCTAGAACCTGCATGATGTTAAACTTAGGATTATTTAACACGGGACTGGTTGGTTCTCCAAAATATCTACCAACTTGGCAAACAGTGTGCGGAGGAACTGGATTCTTTATTTGAAAAGGAAAAGTTTGTCCTAAGGGAGTAAACCGCGAACTGCCAGACCTTTCGAATAGGTATTGATCTCCTCATTCCCATCCCTGTTTATTTATGTTTCTTTATGAAAAGGTTTTGATCAAGATGCTAAATTGACCATGGAGAATTATTTAGTCTGCCACTATGCCTTATGGTTCTGCTCTGAAATTGTTCTGTGTAGATATTAGTTTGGTCAGATGAGATATTTTGGAACATTATGTGCTGATGTAGTTCGCCTTTCCACTACGTCATCTTTATTCATGTTCATGAAAAGTTAATATATTTGAGTATATTTATAAAGTTACTTTTTTTCATGTTCCCATCGTTTTAAGATTCACTATTTTTCTGGTATACGGGAAGTTATGGAACTAACCTCCAATTACTGTTGCCAGGAAGTCCTATGTGCTTTGGAGTGGCTGCTCTTACTTACCTGAGATACCACCCTGTGCCGGATTGTGTCAGCTATGGCAGCCTCCTCCGGTGAGCTGACAACAATTGCGTCACCATGTGAATGGCCATGCGCGTGCACATGTGGATGATCGGCCCTCCCTTCCTCATCTCCGGGTATGTCGATGTTGTCAAGTGGGCGTGCCTTGCTGAAGTGAGACCGGCGGTAGTACCCAGCAGCCAGCGAGTCTATCACCATTGTGGCCATGGCTGCAGACATGGCCACAAGTCCCGCAAAAGGGAAGCCGTTCCTGTCCCCGCCACCTTTGTAGATGCACGGGGAGGTGAGCCCGTCAAACGCCGCCGGCAGGATGTGCACCATGCCAGTGGCAAGGATGACGCCAGCGGCGAACGCCTTGACCGCGAAGAAGATGTCGCCGTCGGGGCGCAGCGCGGCCATGGAGCGTCCGAGCACCGGCACCAGCACGCCAGCCGCCCCGGCGGTGAGGATGGACGCGATGGCGACCAGCTTCAGCTTCGTCGCGCCCTGCTTGTCCGCCCCGTCCGTGGCGGTCGTGCACTCGAACCCGCCGCTGGCCGCCGCGGCCTGGTGCACAAACAGGAGGAGCCATGGGAGAAGCGCCTGCAAGGTATGATTGGTGGCGCCCATGGTGGTGACTCTGCTGAATTGCTGACTATGTGTGCCTGAATGCGATGTCTACTGCAGGGAGATAGAGCAAGAGCCAACGCTGGGCACTTTAATATAGGAGGCGTCGGGGTGAGGAGGGCTGCTGTCCTTTGTCCAGGTGGGGTCTGGTGCTCCCGGGGCTGCACATCATATGTGCCATGTGTCACTAACCTCGGTGCAAAGTGTCGTTGATGCTGGATGCTCAAATGACATGGTATCCGGAGACTGGATTCTCTGCACTTTCGAGAGATTTTTCCATCCCGGATTGAAACTTGTTTCCATCCATGGCCACCTAACCTGAATTTCTTTGTCCGGTGATGGCTGCGGGCGTCGTTGATCGGGGATGGAGGAAACCGGATGACACCTGGTAGTGCTGTCAAGGAAGGTTTGTTTGGCCGATGGCGG